GACACAGACCTCCTCTCACAAAGTTCGAGGAGACCCACATTTCATGTGGGGCGGGGGGTACGGAGGCAGAGGGGGTCTGTTCAGAGACTATGTGTGTAGATCCAGCATCGCAAACGGAAGGATCGCTGTCGCATACTATGCCTTGCAATTATAGTATTAGTCCCCACTTTGAGCAGAGCCGCCAGCTACACACACACACCGCAAATCAGTCGATACGTAATAATAGCCGAAGCTTTAATTACTTATATTACTACTATATTTAATAGTATTTACAATCTAATAACTGCTCTATATTCATATAGATACCCCGAATCGATTAAAATTAATACTAAAGGATCCTAATTAAATTACTAGTCTGTATTACATACGATTTATATCCAGTACTACCGCGCCTATATTAACTATACCCTTTAAGTGCCCTCTTCCTAGTAACGGGGATAAACCCCGACGATCGAAGCGGTTTTTATAGTCCAATGCCCGTATAATCCGTATAAACGCCGGTATAGATAATGGAAATAGAAATAATAAGAGGATTTTAACGCTAGTAGTATATATAGTAAATTTAAATTATAGAAGTACTATTAGGACCCCTAGTTAGTAGTTTTAATTAGCTAGAGTTAGACTTAATCTACGTATTGTAATTAAGAGTAATAGTAATAGTAGTAATCTATCGACTAGTACTAGTACGGGTATTAGTACGGGTATTAGTAGTACAAGGGTAAGGAAGGTAAATACTATTAGTAAGTAATATATAGTCTCTATACCCGCCGCCTTATTAAATAGATTACGGATTATACTTAGAGCTCTAGCTTCCTCTCCCTCTACTATTCTAACTACCTCGACTATTCTAATCCCCACCATCTCTCCAATTATCTCGACCGCTCTAATTATTTCGATTATTCTAACTGCCTCGTTTTTTCGAACCTACGAACCCTTCCGCTGTTATAAGCAATTGGTAAATAACGGCGGATTAACGACCGAGAGTAACATTAGATTATTTAAGTAATATATATATTCGCTAGCGAAATTATAAAGTGAAATTGTAATTAATAAACGAATTAGTACTACCCTTCTAATAGCATCCTATTAGTGGTAATCTACGTAAAAATCCTATAAATCTATTATAATACTTCGAGGTCCGCTACTGGTACCCGATTTCTTAAATATTTTATTTATATATAATAGAATATAGGTTATAAATGCCCGTTATAATATTCTCCCTATAAAGTCCAGTAAATTGCCTACCCTCGTTTTGGCCGACCGTATTACTATTAAGAAGGATACTAACGGCGAGGTTAATACTGAGGAATATAGTATATTTAGCAATAATCTCGCGCGCAAAGTATATAATACGTAGGGTAACCTTCTAGGAGCTACCTATAGCGAATATAACCTTCTCGGTATAAATTTAATTATTATTATATATTATATAGATTAGTTAGCGGGCGTATAGGAATCAAATAGAAGGTGGACTATACTCTACTAAAACTATATTATACTTAAGAAAAATAAGAATTTAACAGTACTATTTAGTTATATTAATATATCGAAAGTAGTACGCAATCTTATATAGTAACTAATAGAATAATATTTCATTGTAATTACTATTTACGTACAAATTATTAGTAAATTACTATAGCCCAATACTATTTCTATCTTTAATACGCCTACCCTAATTCGCGTTACTTTATTTATAGAACGGTTAATTAATTATAGTATTTTTTTATAGTTAAAACTTAAATCTTTCATCGAGTTTCGCTAATATTCCCGTTAGCCTTCTATACCTATTCCTTTAACTATCGCCGCGCCGGTTAATGCTTCTAGATAATTAAAAGCAACTAGTTCTAATCGTTAATTAATAATTAATATAATATTATTCGAATTAAAGAACTGCTATAATACTAAGCGCGAAGCCTAGTAGTAAGGTAGAAAGTTATTATATTTATTATATAATAATTTAATTAAAACGTAGGGTTATAAGATTGGGTGCGAGTATAAGAATTATTATAAGTGATAAGAATATTACTAGTACTATATCTTTCCTAATTAAAAGTACTATTTTCTATTAATAGTAAAGGATTTTATTAAATAGGCGGGCGCTATTACTAATAAGCGAACTATAATTAATTAACGCCTAGCTAATATAATATTATAGTAGTTTAGTTCGATTTAATAGTAATTGGTTTTTTAACCTGGTAGGCTGATAATTAAGTAGTTAAATTACTAGTAATTCTAACCATTTATACTATATACTCTCCCGGGTACGAAACGTAGTAGCGGTAGAAGAAGCTTCTTACTAATGCCTTAAGTCTTTAACTTTAACCTTTATAATAATTATTAAACTAATAGTAATACTTATAGGGTTATTAATAATAATAATAATACTAGAGTACCGTCCGCTGTACCGTTAGTACTTCTATTTACTAAGTATAAAAGTATAAGTATAGGTAAAACGAATACTAGGCTAGCGTTTGAGCCTACTTTACCTATCTTACCTACTTTATATAATATTAGTACTAGTACTTCTTATACTAATACTTCTTATACCGGTACGTTTCGTATTAATAATAGTAACCCTCAACCTTCCTCTCCTCTACCCTCTTTACTACTAAACCGATTATCTAATTCCTTTGTTACTAATTTTATAGAGTAATTTATTTTTAAATATACGCTTAAATTGGGTGAAAATAATATATTAAAGGACTTACTCTATAGTATCTAAAAATCCTTTATTACCGGGCGGTTAATTCTCTATTAAATATATAATCTCCTTATAAAGTAGTATTTCTCCTATAGAATAAACGAAGGTATATATACTGTAATTAAAAAGGTAATTAAAGATTACCTCTATTTCAAACGAAATTATATATAACGGTCGTTATCCCCACTACTAAGAATTCTAGTACTGCCGCCGCCGCCGCTACCCCAAACTATAAATTCTAATATATTCGAATCTCAACTATAGAGTAAATTGCTATTTACTAGCAATTATATATATAATTAACTACTATATTATATAAATACTAACCCGCTGGATTCGTTGTAGTAAGATTATAAAGAGTATTACGCCCCCTCCAACTTCAATAATACTAACGACCGTATATATAATAATTTTATATACAATAAGGAGTTTAATTTAGACAATAGCCTACTCGATTATAACCCTAACCTAACTACTAGCGAGCCGGATGATAATAATAATAATAATAATAATAATAATAACGAGATATAATAAATATGAAAATTAAAGAGTGGGATTATACGAGTAATAGAGGGGTATATATATGTTGGATTATTATATAAATAATTGTTATACTAATAAATTATAGCTTTTTTAGGGGATTTATACTATAATTGCGATATTTTATTATTTTTTATTTATTCGACTTATATTATTAGATTAGGTATTTAATTGTACTCTATTACTCTTATATTTAATATGCTATATTTAATATATTACTCAATATTTTATACTATTATCCCTATTATTTTTAATTCATATAATTAATCCCTATATAATACAATATAATCCTTCGGTTTACTCGCTTTATTAAGCTTATTATATAGTATATATACTTGGTGGTAGTATCCTCGTATAGTAGTAACTCCCTACCCTACTATATATACTACTCCTTCAAAAAAACTCTTAAACTCGCTCTCTTTTAACCAATTACCGCTAGCCTACTAGTATTACCGCTATATATACGCTTTTATATTATTAAAGTATACCTCGATAGGGTTAAAATCTAATAAGTATAGTAGTAAAAACTAGAGTAGTATCCCTCTATTAATATATATAACTTTAATAGAGGAATATTTATATTACAATGCGTTATTTATTACTAGTATATTATACTGGGTGGGGAAGGGATTTATTTTGGGGAGTATCTCCTCCTCTAACTACCTAATAAAACTATCCGTATTTATTACTCCCTTATAATATATTATATTAATAAGGCTATTTATAGTCAATGCTAGTAATAAATAGAACCGCTTCCCCTTTATTAAAGTATTCTCTAACTATAGAAATATACCATTTAGCGCCTACCCTATATATTACGCACCGTCTCTTTTATTTATACTAAATTTATTACAAAAAATATATATCTCTATAAAAAACTTCGAAACCTTCTTTAATTAATCTAACTATAACAGTTTATTATATTAGGAAATTTTATAAACTATCTTCTTATTACTCTACTCAGAAGATTTTAAATATCTCGATATTATACTCATCGATACGTATATATCTAATTCGTTAGTTAGAAAGTACTATATTTTATCGAAGTATAAGTCGGATTTATATTGAAGGAGTTCGAATACTTCCTATATTATCGTAAATTAAATACTATTATAAACTCTCATCTACAATCAACTATACTAACCTCTATAGCCTAAGGAACTAGTATAGTAGCATTAAAGGGAGTGCGAAATTAATTATATAGCTACTTGATAAAATTATAATTCTTTTTTAACTGCCAAACTTACCGTTTACTCAACCTAATAATATACACAATTTTATAAAGATACTCGCTAACAACCAATATTATATATATTATTTACCGCTACTATTCATTAGTATAATGAGGTATTGCTGCAATTATATACGATCTTCTCCTAGTTAAATGCTGACTAGAAATGTTAAATTTGGGTGCAAATCGAGTACAAATTGACAGAGTTATGGCTCTTGAAGTTCTGGTATATCGATTTTCATGCATGTGTGTGTAGCTGGCGGCTCTATTAAAAGTGGGGACTGACACCGTGATTGCAAGGCACAGTAGGTAGTCGCAACCTCCATCTGCGACCAAAGTAATTTACGCGACAATACTTTGTGTGCGCGTCGGAACCTCTTCTTTGCCAACCACTGTTCCTTCATTGTCCCAATACCCGATCCTCACGAAACTCTACCCCTACACCAGATGGATGTCCATCCAGTATCGAAACATCGGTAGTAGAGCTCCGAACTGCCCGAGCGCAAATCACTTCGACAGCTCGACTCGATGGAACGACCGACCAAACGATCGCGAACTGGCCCTGCGCCCTTCGACGATGAAGAGATTGTTGGCGATGAGCTCAACCACCAGCCCGAGGAGGTCAACCAGCTACGAGACCCAGGCTACCAACTCGAACAGGCCCGATCATTTGCTGCCTTCAAGTTAAAGTCAGCTTTTGAGAACATCTTCGAAAAGTATGGGAAAGACTTTGACGGCATTGGCGACGAAATCGATCTGAGGACTGGCGCAATTGTTGTCGACAACGGCCACATCAAGTCTCTGAAAACGGCGACAATTGGTGTCGAGAGCGATGATGATGACGAATCTGAATCCGAGTCGGGAAACGAGAAGGAGACGACATCACACGGACAAGAAAGCAAAAAGAATGCGACTGCATTGCAAACCGTTCCGCGACCTCTGCCTTCCATGGCGCCGCCATCACCTTTCGGCGCGTTCGGTCCGGGTTACAACTCCTTTCCAGGAGGACCTCCGCTACTGTCGAACACGATGTACCCCGTACAAACGCAATTCCAATCGCCCCCAATGCCGTTCGGTGCATTCAGTTCTGCAAGCGCTTCGATCGATCCTGCTTGGAGAGCACCTGACCTACCTCCGCCGGTTTCCTGGGGAGGGTTCTGGACTCCTGGCACCCAATCCAGGTTCAAGACAGTCGCCAAGGTGCAACAACTTGCTGCCAGGACTAATCATGATCAGGAGGCTGAGGATGATGATGACATTTTACTAGATGTTTCTACCACTGGAGCCACCAAAGCGACCGAGAACACTCCGGTGATCAACAAGAAGCTGGCGCCCTTTCGTCCTCCATCTAACGTCTCTTCCCCGGCCAATCACCAGCTAAAGACATTCGCTGCTACTTCGACACCAAAGTCAGTTGACAATTCTGATGTTGCGATGGCAGATGGAGAGAAAAAGAAGAACACCAAGAGGAAGACACCAGCAAAAAAGACGCCAGTGAAAACGAAGGCTATTAAAGAACGTATCGCTAGTCTGATGGACGAATCTGGCATACAGATCGCTGGGTCTCCTGTAGTTGACAGTCCCTCGGCTGACACTCAACCCGTTACTGACACACAGCCTGCTGTCAAGCAGACGCCAGTTGCTGAGAAGTCAGCTATCGAAGGTCAATTCTCTGTTGTGAGAAATACTGGAGCGGTGAAAAGAAGAAGGACGCCAAATACAAAGACACCAACAAGTGAAAAAGCATCTTTAAAGCAGAGCGCTGATTTATTGAGGGCGAGCCTTGTAAAATCTGATCCTGTTTCCGCGGCGAAAGAGTCTTTTGCAGAGCTTGAATTTGAGACTCGTCCTATCGTTGAGCACGAACCTAGTATTGAAAAGGGGTCTGGCCAGGTTTCTGTTGAAAAACCCAGGGTCGAGGCCCCTGTTGTCGAGGACCATGCTGTTGGCACGGGTCAAAAGACATTGAAGAGGCAGACTCCATCGAGGGTTTCAACAAGGGAACAACATTTTGGGGGGCCAAGCAGCAATCCCTCAGCGAGTGATAGCAACCGGCCCGCGCTAGCTCCTACAGTTGAGCAGCCTTCAGTCGGGACTGAACTTGTCGTTGAGATTCAATCCTCTTTGACAGTTCAAAATGGCCCCGGGCAGCCCTATGTTCAAGAGACTATTGCAAGAGAATCAGCTGTGGAGAAGACTTCTATCGACGAAGGTGCCATTGCCGAAATCGAGCCTCCTTCCGCTAAGGGCGATGGAGACCAGTCTGCAAGCATCTCAGCAACGGTCACTAAGTCAGTAAATCACGATCTTCCAGAGATACCGAGTTCTGCGGATTCCAGGACGGCGAGAAGGAAGAGGCGACTCTCGATGCGAGACCAGTCTTCTCCAGCTGAGGCCAAGCGGTCTTCAAGGAAACAAGTTGCGTCGAGATATGAGCAGTCTCTCTTTAATGGAGTAACAAACGCGAATACTACCTTGAAATACTACAGCCCCAGCCGCGGCGCACTTGTCACAAAGCCAAGCAACCAGCAACTTTGGGTCGAGATACCGGTGGATGGTAGCTTGGACCCTAAGGCCTTCCAAGTTGTTGTCGATGACGACAATCTGATACCAGAAGTCCCAGCAATGGAAATAGGACCAGAAACTACCAACACATTGACAGTAGAGGAGATGGCGAGGAATGGCGTTGCCAAACCTCAAGTTCATGGTGACCATGAAACTCAAACAGAGGCTGTCGAAGAACGAAGCCCCCCATTGAACGATCTGTCACATGAGGTCTTTACTAGGAACGTTGTTGACTCGGCATATGCCTTCTCTGACGAAGATGAGCCAGCCATACCAAAAGCGAGAGTTCGACGAACTGAACCCATTCAACCCAACCCCAAGCCCAAACCCGCGGAAAAATCTAACGTAAAAGAATTCGGGATACCCACACCAGCGTCGTCCTTTGATCGCAATAGTCAGTCCACTGAATCTCAAGCTACTTTGGAAGCGGAGCTACCGATGGAGGAACTTCCAATCATCTCAGCAATTGTCATCACACAGACTGCTCGCCAGACGCCATCAGCAGGCTCCGCACTTCTCGACAAGACCAACACCAACAGCGAAGGACCTTCACTGCCCAAGCCTGTTCAAGTTATCAAGGCTAGGCGGGGAAGGAAACCCAAAACTCCGATAGATTTGAGCGTAACCGCCTCAGAGGTGGCAACGAGTACACCTGCCGTGACAGAAAAGCCATCCGAGCCGGTTCCTATTATTACCGCTTTAGCGTCTACTCGGCCGAAGAGACAGAGTTTGAGGTTATCAAGGGGAAGGCGGGATTCGGATATCACAATTGCAGAGTCGACTACGCCGCAACATGCAACGGCTACGATGTCCCAGCACGAAGATGAGTCTCTTGTCATTCAAGAGAGTCCACAAGGCACACCCGAACCCGAGTCTGTAGATGAGCATAAGGCTGGAAGCCCAGCTAGCCTAACCTTGACTGCGACCATTCCTGCGTCTTCCAAGTTGACAGAGACCTTGGCTCCTGATCAAGAACTCTTGGAGAACAGCTTCCTTGAGGAGGCAATAGCCCGTCAACGGTTTTGGTCGCCTAAACCTGAATCGATAATACTCGGCCACGAACCATCACCACCGGAGCCACGAGCAGAGACGCTTTTGGAAGTCCTCATCCCTTCTGAACGGATGCCACCCACCTGAGCTTCGCCTCCGCCGCAGGAACAAGAACCAAACATTGAAGCCATTCAACCACAGAAGGAACCAGAACAACCAACAACCCCTGTGAAAACAAGGTCAAGACGCGGCGGACGCCCAAGCTCTGCCGCTTCCCTCCCCACAGCAACAGTCACCACAACCACCAAGGTCAAGACTAAAACAGGCTCCGCCTCGGTATCACAACCAGGCAGGAGAAAGGTCCAAACACCCTCCACCATTACACGCACTACCACCACCACCGCCCCTATGGCATCCTCAAGAACAAGGACGACCCTCACTGGCACCTTCCAAAAACAAAGCCAAGTCCAAACCCCTGGCACAACCAAATCCACCAAATCTCTTCTGGGCAACAACAACACCACCATCCTCTCTCTCATCTCCTCTGACACAGACGACGAAGACGAACTCACTCTTGATTTTGGCGGCGGCACACCATCAGGCATCTCGAAGAAGGGGGTTGTTAAACCCACTAGCAGCACCGCAACAGCAACAGCAACAACAACAAGAACGAAAAAGACAGCTGCTGCATCTACTACTACCCCTTTGGCTTCGCTCCTCCTCCGGACTCCATCTCGCAAAAAACCTCCTCCTCCTCCTCCTCCTCCTCCAGCTGCTGGTGGTGGTGGTGGTGGAATAAGAAGAAAAACAACTAGCTTGGCGAAGATTGTTTCTTCTTCTATTATTAGTGTTGGGAGGAGATCAAGATCAACTTCCTCTCCTCCAACTACTGCCCATGCCGTGACACCCACTGGTACTGGTGTTGGCTCTGAGGCTGAGGGAGAAGAAGGAGAAGAAGAGTTTGTTGGATCGGAGGTGATTCAGACGCCAGGTGGGACGCTGAGACGGTGCGGTGAGGCTGGGTTCAGGTGTGACAGGGATTTTTGTTTTGGGTGTTTGTAGAAGTTGTGCGTGTGATGTATGTGTTTCTGTGTTATGAGTTGTGAGTTTGTTGCCAAGGTGATTGAGGTTGTTGCGGAAATCGTGGGTGTAGTGTTGTTTCGGAGATGTTATGGGTGGCGGAGGGGAGTGTTATCGATACAGTGTTTCGGTCGCGGAATTAGGTTGAAGTAGACTTATGTGCTATTGTTAATGGGTACGTATGGTCGATATGGGCATTGGAGTATGGTATTTGTTTACTGGGAAAAGGAGTTACGCACTCGAGTTACCTAGCCAACTATTTATCAGCTACATCCTACAGACTTGGTCGTGAACTCTAAACGTTGAAAGGAGCTTCGAGGTGGCTTCCTCCCGCGCACACATCCTACTGCGTACAACAAAGTCCTGGTCATGGATTGATCAATTGTGCTATGTTGTTGTCGATATGTCATCTGGTCACACACCACGAAAAGGCAAACGAGGTGAATGGGCAGGGAAACCGCTTCAAAATTCTCCATCAATGATCCTATATCATGAACCATAATCTTTAACGTCAAAACCTAAAGGGAATCTTTGCTCGGAACGTACTTCCAATGTTGCTGTGTTTAACCACCAAACACGCATCACAACCAACACTCCAAACCGACTCCATCCATCCATCCATCCATTTCGAGAAAAGAGAAAAAAAAAGAGAGAGTTTCCCAAGCAATTCCTACCTACTTCTTTCCTGCTTCCTTTTACTCCATCTGGCTGCCTGAACATCCTCATCTGTGATCTTCCCTTCCCTCTCCAGCGCCCAGCCCCAACTAAACCAAGCACCTAGAAATCCTAGCCTGCGCTTGATAAACGCATGTCTTTCCGCTGAATGAAATTGGTATCCCATGTCGTGGCGAGTTGTGACCTCGGTTCGCAGGCAAAACAACGCTGGATAATCGAGTAGCTTCGACGGTAACGGATGACACGCGCAATGGTATATAAAAGTCGATCATTTCGGCTGGAACTATAAGAGCAGGCGGCCTTCTCTCCGATTTTCCCGTCTAGTTGATGGTCTCACCGGCCAGATACCGCGCACGTGTGGCCTCGTCGCGGACAGGGGCGAAGTAAGGGTGGGCCATGGCCTCCTTTGCGGTCAGACGTTCCTGGAAAAGTATCATGTCAGTGTCTAGTGTTACAGCAGTATTGAGCGAGACAAATTCGAGTGCAGAAACATACGTTATGATCGTAGCGCAGCAGTTTGTCCAAGAAATCAATAGCCTCGTTGGAAACGAAACGCTGGTTCTCAGCGTTAATGAAGCTGTGCCAGGGTTTCCTCTGGAAGCGGCCGAGAATGTCATCGTACTGAGCGTCCAGCTCGATCTCGTACTTATCAAGGTAGTCGAACAACTCGTCCGTGCCGAGGACCTTAGCAATCTTGACTAATTGATCCGAGTTGCTCTGACCATGGAAAAAAGGCTCCTTGCGGAAGATCATAGATGCGAACATGGCGCCCAAACTCCACATGTCCAAGCTGTAGTCGTATTCTTGGAAATCGACAAGCAGCTCCGGACCCTTGAAGTAGCGAGAGGCGACCCGGACATTATACTCGGTGCCGGGATGGTAGAACTCAGCGAGACCCCAGTCGATAAGGCGAAGCTGTGACAAGCAAGAGAATGTGTTAGCTCGAAGCTGATGCGCGCTTCATTCCTGAGATTTTCAAAACTTGCCTTTCTGTTCTCATGATCGATCATAACGTTATGAGGCTTCACATCGCGGTGCATGATGCCCTTGCTGTGACAGAAGTCGAGGGCCTTGAGGAGCTCGAAGATGTAGTAGCGGACGTCGAAGTCGTTGAACCTGGGGTACAGGGTGCGGAACTCGGTGTTGTTGACGTATTCGAAGATGAGCGAGGGGGTCTTGCTCTGGCTATCCCTCACAACGTCGAGCAGGGCGACGATGTTGGGGCCACCCGCCAGGTTCTGGAGAATCTTGATCTCTCTCTTGATCTTCTTCTTCTTGACGGGCTTCAACACCTTGATGACGCATTTTTGGTAGTTAACCACGTTGATGCCCTCGAACACCTCGGAATATTTTCCTCTGCCTGTACAAGTGGGTTGGCTGTTAGATTCGGCGCTTGCTTATTTTTTTTTTTTTTTTTTTTTTTTTTTCTTTTTTTTTTTTTGCAACATTGAGGAAGGGGGCGCATGGCACATACCAATCTTCCGAACGACCTCGTAGTTCTCGAGAACACCCCAGCCTATGCGCGTAAAGCAGTCAGTAAGGTATAAAAAAAATCTTGCGTGTCGATAGGGTGATTGAAGCTCACTAATGTTAACAGAGTCGTAGTCCCAGTATGCGCGGGGCATATTCTGGTTGACGTCGGCGTAGACACGAGCCATGTTTGCGGTGGTGTTGGGAAAGGCGAGCACGCTCGATTGCGCGCTGGCAGCCCAGAACGAGGTTGTTGCTAGAGAAATGGTGACGGCTCGGATTGGGACCTGCGATGGCGCGAGCCGGAGGAGAGGGACAGTTGAAGACGGATTGCAGTCGGGTGGATAGGATCAGATGGTGGGATGGAGAATGCAATGCCGTTGGCCGTCAGCGATGATGGACGTTGGATACCTGGGGCCAGACGCGGGCTGCGCAAGACGCATTCAGTTCGCAGGGAGCCTTTGCCGCTAGGCTAGGATTTTGTTAGGCTTTTGCTAGGCTTTGCTGGGGTCTACTGTGAGGGGTTCTGGTTGGTCCGTCACCGGCACGCGATCCTTGTTCGGACCCTTGTGTCCCTAAAATGGAGCCTTGTGAGGAAAGTGGGCGATGTTATGCCTGGCAAGTGCAAAGCTGCCCTGACAACCGAGGCAACCTATCGTTTTAACAGCACGGTATCTCGCCCATGCTCATATGTGTTGTGGAGCAGCGGGTCCTACGGTATGCTTATACTTACCTCTACCTCTATGCAATGTACATCATACATTGAACATATGATGGATGGGATCGAGACGGACCTACTTCTAGGGCTGGGCTAGAACATCTATTCAGCTAACTCAACGTATATCACCCCACAGCAAGAAGATCCAGGAAACGCGGAAACATTCACCGGTCACTCGTTCCGGTTGTCATGAAGGATCTCCAGCTTCTGTCTCAAGACGCACCAACCGAGAAATGTTAACGCAAACAGACGGGAAAGTATGACTGCCAACTGCCTCAACTTCAAAGGGATGAGTGGCTAGGCAGGTAAGTTCGTATTGTCTACACCTTCCCTTACAGTGAACTCTATGACAGGGTAAGTAACCGTCACCCTCATGAGCGGCTTCCAAGTCTTTCACTAAGGATTATTCTTGTCCATCGATCTTGAAATTTCAGTCTCAGAATAACGACCTGAAGAAACGAAAGGTAGATACAACACCACATTGCCAGGCCATACCTGCCCATTTCTATGGAGTTACCCGGGGATCTTCTTTCGAGCATCAAATCTATCACCATACACCACCGTAGAGTTGCAGCGCGTGTATGCTCTCCGGCAATCTGGTTCGCCTGGTTATGTAGTTGCCGTTATTGACCTTTTCAGCCAGTAAACACCCTCGCGAGCCTCGGTACCCCAACGCCCCGACAGTCACTGCTATCCATTTGTTTACACAACTTCATGCTCATCAGGAATCCTTCCAAACCTTCCGACCGAGTTTGATACGGGCATCCGAAGGCAAGGAAGGGGCATCCCGAATCCTCACCCGGGCGATGCCTATTCGATGTCCACTTGGCAAGCACAGCAAGACACAGCCCTACACCATGCCTACACGAAGGACCATCACGAAGGTGACAGAGAGCCACGGAGCTAAATGCAACATGGCGCAATCATACATATAAAGGTGGTACCCCTTGGGGAGGTTAGAAGGACTTCAAGCGATCTGCCATCTCAACATCCTCCCCCGCAAGGACGACTTTCGTTTCGTTTGATTAAATTCGTTAAGTCTGTCGACCTGAATATCTCCAAACCCTTCCTTGACGACACTGTCTGACAGTATCCGCCGCTCCTGGAGTGAATTGCCTTGGTCGCAGCCTCCACGTTCAACCCTTATTTCGGAGGCCCTACCGGCATAGCACCGCATTTTTTATGTTTGGTGTGAAAAGACGTTGATTAATGCCTCGATCTTCAACTAGAGATCCAAGAACTGGAATTGTCTCGCTCCTTGCGTTGCCCAACAACCCAGCCATGTGATATCATTTCGTTCCCTCTGCACCTTTTAAGCCCTTCTATTCGAAAACATACCGCTGTGAGAAGCTGGATAGGTAGCTAATCCATGTGAAGTTCGACCCTTTTAATGATGGTGGAAATATAGTAACGCCCATATATTCGCATTCTCACACCGGATACGATTTTGATAACCTCGCATCTACCACTGCGTCATAGGTACACCTGATACTTCTGGTCACTAGAAATATCCTAATGTTTGGTCTCAGGACAATTACAGTGGCAGTGAGTGGTAACTGGGTGAGATCACGCAAACCGACATGTCGGGATCTCAGAGAGCCATCCGTCCGTCTTCCAGAAAGCGTATCATGCCATGATTAACAAAGGGATTGATCCGGGGTTGGATGACGATGCGCATCAGCTTTATATGAAGGCTATGGGGCAAGGTTTCGAGGGTGGGGGTGTATGTGGTCGAGAAACCGGGACCGGATGAGGCGGAGATGGCTTTTGGAAATCAGAGCACGAGTGGCTTGATGAGGTGGATGATTTCGCAGACGATGGAGGCTATTGAGCTTCTTTGAGGTTTGAAGCCTGAGTTGAGTGTTGGTGGTGGGTGGTGGGTATGGTTTGATGGAAGGATGAAATGACAAATTGTGGCAGAGATTAACTCATGTAGTCTTTTAGTAGCGGTCTTTGATATATTAGTGAGTATGGATAACTAACAATCGATGTTGATCATGGTAACGAACTATCACATACTAGGTGTAAACAGGGGAACTTGATCAGTTGCCTTGAGCATAACAATACCTTCCTTTTTTAAGTCCGATATGCCCTTTGACTCTGGGGGTAGCCTCGAGAGGACTATATTGAACGTGATGTCAGAAAAATGACACCCCAGAACTAAACTGAAAGTCGGGAAATTAGTATATAAGGTAGGTCTAGAAGATTCGAGTTGGCGAGTTAAACCTCGTTCCAACCTACTCACGGAGCAACTCGTTCCAGTCCTTCCTCTCCAAACCTACGACAACTGACTCTTCCACCTAGGTATTCACCTCTACTCGTGAACCTCAAAACCCCCCAAGAAAGCCCCGTTATACACGATGAAACTTTTCAACCGACAAGTATTCACATACGCATCCTGCCTTCTGTCGTGATCAGATACTTAGTTGGGCAGTCCGAGTTGGCATTATCCACTTGGAATGTCATGAAAAAAAAGGGGAAAGTAAACAAAGCCCAGGTTTAACCCATCGTCCGCCAAGTCACTCCTACTTGGACACTTAGTAATACGCCTCGTTGTGGTATCCGCCTCGTTTCTGAAGCACCATTCTTTCGCTGTCGCATAGATACTAAAAGAAACGGAGGACCTGTAAGCCGAGGGACATCAACAGCAAGTCAGCGATGACAAGAAGCACTGCAAATTGACGCCAGAGTGCAGTTAACTGCAACCAACAGATAAGCCAGTTGAAGAGGAAATATGTGCCTCAACGTAAGCCCTCGATACACTCATCGCATCAGATCGAGGCAAGAGCAGCGCATACCTCAGCCGGAAAGCTACGGCTCATTCACAATGAAGCAGTAGGGTACAAGGGGGAATCTCAAATTGGTTATCATCATAGCTCGTAACTTCGATAGCTTCGCATTGCCAGTATCGTAGCCTCATTCTCACTCTTCCTTCCTCCCTCAAGTGTGAAATATCTCCAAATGACTTGACTCTCTTGGTCAATCATCGTCGTCATTGTAAGTTCCCAAATCCTCCCTATCCAGCGGGCGCTAGTTCCACGATACGTATGCCTACTTCCCCTAGAATGGCCAACGACGCTCACGCTCTCCGCTCTCGTACTCCCTCCTTCTCTCCTCGAACGCGTCCTTAGCCCGCTGGGCAATCCTATCCAGGAGACTGGGGCTCGAGGGACGCTCCGGATCGGGGTACGCCAGATCCTCGTCCTCGTGGCGACGGGAGTATCCGCCTCCGCCACCATACTCCTCCTCGTCATCGCGACGGTACCTGCGCTCCTCGCGGTACTCGTCATCATCGCGGCGGTATCGGCGGTCCTCATAGCCATTGTCGTCCTGTTCATAGCGACTATACTCCTGGCGCTGGCTACCGTCATCGTACCGCGTCTCGGTGTACTCGGCTTGGCCGTAGCGGTTGCCATCGTAACCGTACTCGGTCGTGGTCTCCGAGTATCCGCCATCGGGCGTGTAGCCGCTGGAACGATAAGCGCTGGTCGCCTCGTTATTGAAACCACCGCCTAGGATGCCGCCGGCGACCGCGCCGAGGAGATTGCCCTGGTTGTTGTTGGCCTGGCCGCTAAGGAACTCCGAGAAGCCCTGCTTGACGCCGCCCATAATCTGGTTGGCGGCGGCGGCGGCGATCCGATCCTCCATGGTCTCAGGCGCCTCGTTCTTGAAGTTCTTGTGCATGCCCAGGGGCTTGCCGCAGCCGTGACCGCAGTCCTGGACGCCTTCCTTATGATTCTCGCCGTTCAGCACGCCATCGCGGCTGAGCTTCTGGCGGTACTCCTCACGAGCGTCCTCGCCCAGGTCATTCCACCACTCCTCGACGGAGGAGAACATCATCTGGCGACCTTCCCGGGCACCATCCTCGCCCATGTCACGCTGGGCGGGGTGATGAAGAACGCCGTATATGATTCTGTTCAGAAGTTGGTCAACATCAACGCTATCGTCGTCCCAGGCGTCCATCAGCTGAGGCACAACCCAGCTGACTACCTTGGAGGCGGTGCGACCGGCAACTTCGTTGAGGATCTAAACCAAGTCAGTCAGATATCGAGCCACGGGTCAGCTCAGCGAACTCACGTTGGAGAAATGGTCCTTGGCCAACATGGAGTGGGTAGGGTCCGTGCAGCTGTCATCATCGAAAACAACGAGTTGCTCGTTCTTGCTGCTGTTGATAATCTCGGTGGAGCCAGTGGCAAGCTCATTCTTGACCTGGTCAATAAGAGGAATGATAACCGGAGCAATGATCTGGAAAACGAAAAGAGAAAGCTGCTCCTCAAGCTGCTCAATGATCTTGGGGAGGACGGGGATCTTCTCAATAGCCTTCGAGATGGTCTGGAGGAGATCGTCGTGGAACTCGATGACAGGCATAACCTGGCGGTAGACCTGCTGGACATAAACAGTGAACTCCTCAGGCTCTCTGGGGGACACGCTCATGTTCTCAAGCTGCGAGTTGGCGGCATTTTCCTGGATTTCGTCAATCTTGTTCTTCTTGTCGCCGCCGATCAAGCCATCGGGGATCATGTCCAACAGGTCACGAAGAAGGCTGGTATCGCCGTTGCGGCCGGCCTTCAGGGTTCCCTCAAGATCTTCGATTTCGCTCTGGGTCACCTTGTCGGACAGTTCACCGGTCACGGAGTGCAA